CACACACACACACACACACACACACACACACACACACACACACACACACGCACACACATACAAAATACTAACGTGTACGGATATACAAGTTCAATTGAAGTGGAATTTGAGATTCTAATTTCTAGAAGGTAGGTGTGACGGAATTGACACACGTCTCATATTTCACGTGTCCCATCCACGCTGTGACCGTTCGAGGAGCCCCCCCCCACACACACACATTTCCTAGAGTGCGACATGATGGCATGAGAAAGTATATTATCTTACTTATCTTTCTTACTATTACGTGCCATCCTATAATATGCGTGGTGTGATTTGCGCTGTCCGTGAATGCATAGGTGAATGTAAGGAGTGCCTGTAGCCCGCCCACTTATCTTAACTGCTAATCCTGAAAAACAAATCGGGTGTCAGAACGCATAGTTGAAACTAATACTATAGGGTTACGTCTATGGCATGCGAGGTGGGACACAAATGGTATTTATTAACAAACACTAAATCATTTAGATAACGCAGCTGGTGTAGGTTCTCAGCAACGGCTTTCTCTAGGTGAAAAATATTACAGTTATTCTATGCAACTTAGCGGGGGACAAACGGAGTAGAACTATAAATCTCACACCCGTTGTTCCGACAAGAAAGGGGAATGGATGGTTGGACCATTTTAATTATCTAAGAACCAGGAAAAATAGCGAATGAATTTGAACGAACTGGGATTTGCGATTTTTTTCAACCGGAAACTGGGCAACGCCACATTTTTTACTCGGAGAACTGGGAATGGGCCTCCCTCCATCCTACCCAGTTTCCCCCTCCTCACATTTTTACCTGAGGAACTGGGAAGGGGCCTCCCTCCTCCCAACCAGTTTCCGCCTCCTCTCACATTTTTATCTGAAGAACTGGGAAGGGGCCTCCCTCCTACCCAGTTTACCCCTCCTCTTACATTTTTTACCCGGAGAACTGGGAATTGGCCTCCATCCTACCCAGTTTCCCCCTCCTCTCACATTTTTTACCCGGAGAACTGGGAATTGGCCTCCATCCTACCCAGTTTCCCCCTCTCACATTTTTACCTGAAGAACTGGCAAGGGGCCGCCCTCCTCCCAACCAGTTTCCCCCTCCCTCTCGCATGTGTCCGCCTGGCGTTCACCGCGCGTGTTGTGTGCCTACGTGACGGCACACACGCCGCTTGCGTGCATGTTATGCGATCGTTAAACTGACGATGTATTTTTCACGTGGGTGACAGCGGCATCGATGTTGCATTTCAAAGGTATTATATTATATATTGACCTTTCGTGTGACGTACGCTGCGGCGTACGTGCAATTTGCAGCGTGAGCGAAGACCCGCGCATACGGGTTGCTGCCGGTCACGTGACGACGCGCGCGTCGGCGGTGCGTCGATTGTTGTCGATATGCGGCTAAGCACACACGTCTGCGCAGGCACGTTTTCACGCCGTGAGACAAGTCACGTAGGCAGCCAGCGCTCGGCGTGCTACTCATCTTCTCCCCGCCCCTCACCTCCCCTCCGGGCCCTCCCCCTCCTTCCGTAAACGCTCGTTGGCGGCGGCTCAGTATGGCAGTTTAATTTGCCAGGTTAGTACATCAAGCGCCCTCTGTCGGGAGTTCTGTGCGTTGTGCTTGCGTGCACAGCCAGGCACGTGGAACGTTTCAATAGTAAAGTGATGGTAGATAAAAACGAAATGTATTTACTACAAAACTCGCAGTGTTTATGTATTCTCGAATCTCTGTCGACTAATAATTCAACGTAAATGCCGTTCAGATGCTCCTCTGCAACACACAATTTCACCAGCATGCACGCCGCTGTGAGCAACCACACAGAAAGTTACTCTGTATATCTTATGTGAGTTTGCAGATCTTTTCTGTTTATATTTTTCTGTGTGTTGCAGAGGAGCGTCTGAACTGCATTTATGGGACACTGTTACCAATAATAGCTGAAAGAGAATAGATAAACATTAAGACTTTAATAATAAATTTATTTCGTGAAAAAAATACTAAAAATGTACTCTTAAAAAAGTAGTAAATACATTTCGTGTTTATTTACCATCAATGGCATCATTCTATTATTGAAACGTTCCAAGTGCATGTGATTTCGTAAGCACGTCGAAAGCTTAAATCGGAGAGCTAGTTCTTATCATCTTTTAATGGTAAACTGTGGTATTAAAACCTTCATCGCCGCTCTTCCCAGTGTCAATCTGTTAATCTTATCGACCTCGAACTCCGTCTTCGTTATAGTCCTTTTGAATCTGAAGTGTTACCATTACTGAAGTGAAGTGTTAACTAACTGAACTGAAGCTTTCTTACTGAATTTCATTACATAACTGAAGTGTTACCATTAGGAGATTACAATATAATAGCCCTGGGACTGGCACGGTGGGGTCATACATTTACCATAAAATATTACTTGATAAATTTTGGCGTACTCAAGAAGTACTATATGACTATTTTAAGGCAACCATCTGAAGTGGCAATAGAAATATAATGTGGAATGACTTAATTGTAGAGTCTGGTGGAAAGGACCTAATCGGACCTGTACCGAAAACAAATGCTAAGTAATGCTAAGTAATAATACATTATCGCGTTTCATCATAGCTCGGTGTTTTGTTAGGCAGCGATTATTATTTTTTTTATTATACGTCATTTTTATTTACTTTACGAGATCTACATAAGTGAGAGCAAGACGAGTAACAGCGTTATCACGCGTTGAGGTTCTTTTAATTAGAGGTTACTTTGAGGTTCCCCCTAGCTCCAAGAAACGGCCGTACATCGAAAGACTGGTGGCTTCGCCAGACTAGGGGTTTCCTATTAGGTTAGTGATTCTCAAACTCTTTCTGGCCACCGCCCCTTGGCTTCAAAATCAGTTAATCTCATCCCCAACGCGGCCTGCCCGATCACACCTACAACAGACATCTATACATTACCTTTCCCTAGGTAATCCTACGGCCTTCAGGGGCGGTACCATCTACACTGAAAACCATTGCCCTAGTGCGTGTGCTTTCCAACTTTTGTATATTCGTTTTCGAATATTTCGTAAAGTGCATAAAATGGAATGTGTATATTGAGAATCCATAGTACTAGAGCTAGGCTCTGCTATACTCTACAACCGTTCTGTAGAGACGAGTATGTAAATATATATATATATATATATATATGTTTCCATAGACCAACCATATTGTACTTGTAGGCTGTGGTGTTGGTGCATTGATATTGTTCTGAACTCCCAACTCCCATTCCCCCTTACAGCGCCCTCCCACGGTGATGTCACTTCCGCCGTCGTGTTGCTGTCAACGTGGTTGTGTTCGTAGATTGATTACGTAGTACATGTACTAGTAGGTATTTACAGTAGAAAATTCTCGTTAAAAACACATGTTCTGTTTTTGTTTTGTTGCTGATGGCTAGTACATAGTCAGAACAAATGATATAACAGGGACAACCGGAGCTGTCATTTAGGAAATCCTGCGTGTAGTGCAGTATTCTGAGCCGGCATAGGGTCAAAAGACAAAACAACACGCTGATGAATCATCAAACAATATCATTGTGACTCGTATTACTATTACTAGTTCTTGTTTTACATGCACGGCATTATATTAGATAATACAAACGCATGTGCTTGTATATATCTATGGTATTCCGATTTAATTATGTACATTAATTCACATATTGCATCATGTCACATGTGATAGTGATACATGGAATGTCCAAACGTAATACTAATAGTATACTAGTATTAGTAATAGTTGGCATGTACATCATCAGGCTATTATTCTCAGATTCTGTGGCACACATGAATCTGTGTAAAATCGTGACATGAGACGGAAAAATGGTATTTACACCTTCGTATATCTTTGTGGCCTGTACTGCAAGGACTGGGTTTAGTTTGGGGCAGATTCGCATTGATCTATACTGCGAGAATATATAAAACAAGTTTTTTTTTATGGCTAACATTTTTCATCCTAGGACAAATGCAGACAATACTAGTAATTTATATTTGCTATCCCCAAGCAACTATAAAGCGCACACAATTCTACATGCAGCATGCGTTCGTGTATGTACGGGCATACATTCGTGTGCATTTCGGAACATGACTGGGTCCAATCTTTCCTAATTATTCCAGCTGTTCGTGGTATGCCTGTGTTTTTTTGCATTTGCTTTAATTGTGCAAAAAGGGGATAGTACTTGCTTACTCTGGAAATAACTTCTGCAGAGCTTATCAGGTGTCATATGAAAGCCAGACGTGCAGCTGCTAGTGTGTTGTGAAACACATGTCATTTTATTGTCACTGCTAAGATTTCCGTAGTCATTTTTGGCAAGCAAATGCCATGCTTATCACACTTCATTTTCCTGGTGCCTCATTGCTCTGTCAGCCAGTACAGGATGTTCCCCCTTCTGCGTGAAAATCCAACAGCGAGATTAGAATATTCGGCCAGCAGCAAACGTTTCGCTGTTTAGTTGTGCTGTTGAACTCTTGCCAGTTCACGCGACTCACGAAGGTCGTCATTTGCCTAATCCCATTCTTTTCGGAAATTGAGCATGTTATTACAACATGTTTCGTTACAAAAAGCCTCTGCAAGTTTGTGTGTTTTTCCGCCAGCGTAAAGAGCAATTTTGCATTGCTACCCTGGCATGAAAATGCACTTTTGCGCGTGCCTGTATAATCGCATCCCGCCGGGGTCTTTAGCGGTCTGAAGCGATCCTTTGCGGAGACCACGTTTTCTACACGAGAGAACTCGTAGAGCAGGACGTGATATATTATCTCTCCTTGGCAGGTGAAAAACGCACAAAAGGGTGCCAGGCGAGACGAGACCTCGAAAAAGGAAGCACAGCAGTCGACAGCCGTGAGCGGCAGCAGTGGCAACCCTGCAGAGCTGCACAGCCGAGTGCTCGCCCAGGCCAACAAGATCAGATCCCTTAAAGCGGAGAAAGCTGGCAAGGTATAGCCTGAGCAGAACGCCGGCCGGCGCATTGATTGGGGAGGGGGCGGGCTTCTCTCTGTTCCTTCTTCCCCGTCTGGCCCTCGTGCAATCATGTGGGGGGGGCGAATTCCTCCCGGCAGCAGAGAAAAAACGGCTTCTTGCTCTTGTTCGTGTAAATGAGCCCTTCAGTTGCACACGATATGCGCACGCGCATCGTTACTCGTTTAAAAAAATCGAGAGCAGACATCGGGTGAAATTATGGACTGTTGTCCGATCATTATCCTGTTCTAGTAGATGTATCTTGAATCCTTGATCACATTGGCATATGCAAATAGCTTTGAAAAGTCTGATGTAAGCCTAGTTTGTGGGCTTATTAGATAGACAGGGGACGGCATCCATGTCTGCGCATACACACATTGCTTTAACTCGCAAAAGTAATCTGCAATTAGAATAGAAACGAGCGACCTGCATTTTGCAGCACCATTGCTCACACTGGTTTTATAACACTAGAATCTATATATTTTTATTATAATAATGCATTCAATTTCGAAACTGCAATCACATGCTTTACTCGTGTACTCTCCCAATGCGCTTCCTATAATGGAAATATATATATGTCACAATTTGCCACAATTATAAATTACCACAACAAATGCACAGATGTGTGTGTAGTAACATTAAACCCCTAAATCTTTGTAGCTTTGGAATCTGAATCAGTTCTTAATATTAATGCAATGATTGATAAGTCAAAATTATTATATTAAAATGTCAAAACCTACATGCAATCAATATTTGCAGGACATTTTAGACCCAGAAATAAAGCTGCTGCTAGCACTGAAGACAGACTACAAAGCAGTCGTTGGTCAGGACTGGACGGCAGATATACCACCGGCAGTAGCACCAGCAGTAGCTCCAGCAGTAGCTCCAGCCGTTGTCTCTTCCTCGGGCGTAGAACAACTGGATGCTCAAATCAAAGCACATGGCGACACTGTGCGGAAACTAAAGTCAGAGAAAGCGGGAAAGGTACAGTTTTCCGTAACTTGTCTGTGATTCGTGGGTCACGCGTGTTTGAATCCCTGCGACCGGGACGTGCTAAAGCTTCGTGAGAAGTGAAAGTGCTTTTGTTTTCTCCCGCAATAGTCGAAAAAGAAGGAGGGGCTATACCCAAGAAGTGTCGTGCCACGTGGGAAAGTAAATGTGCAATTCCCTTATGAAATTCCTGTAAACATGGGGACTCAGTTAGTTTCCACCACCTTCTGACTGCCTTTATCATATGAAGGGTAGTGCCTTAGACACACTAAAGTAATTCAATCCTGAATTTACACGACAGTGCGTTTATATGTCACCTTGTGACTGTAGACATCAGTTTAAAGCATACATGTGTTGAAATGTAACTGTAATTAAATGTTTGCTATCACAGGAGACAATAACAGCTGCTGTGAAGGCACTGTTAGATCTGAAGGCTCAATACAAGGCAGCAGCCGGCAAGGACTGGAAAGCTGATGCTACACCACCAGCCCCAGCAGCAGCAGCAGCGGCAGCGCTCCCTAGCGGTAATGTGGATGATCTGAACTGCAAGATCAAGGCACAGGGTGACAAAGTCAGACAGTTAAAATCAGAGAAGGCATCAAAGGTAGGAATACGATCAATTTTCGGTTGCTCAGATATTTCAGTTTTTTCTGAGAATGGTATATGTGTTATATAATATAGCTATATGTTATATAATATATTATATAATAGCAGCTAATAATAGAAAGTACAAGAGTAGCTTTGAAAGACTGAAGATATTTATTGAAATGTTGTTTGCTATCACAGGAGGCAATAGCAGCTGCCGTGAAGGAACTGTTAGATCTAAAATCTCGATACAAGGCTGCAGCTGGCAAGGACTGGAAAGCTGACGCTACACCACCAGCGGCAGCGGCAGTGACGGTGGTAGCGCCCCCTAGCGGTAACGTGGACGATCTGAACGGCAAGATCAAGGCACAGGGTGACGCGGTCAGGAAGGCTAAAACAGAGAAGGCTTCGAAGGTAGAAATACTTGTTGAGATGTATCAAGTTGAAGTCTTAAATGTGTTTGCACACGCACACAAACACTATGGCTTATCAATGAAACGTCTTGAAATTTTGGAATTAATTTTAAATTAATTTAAACTAGGCCCACATTCTAAATTTGATGTCAATTACATCTATTTCGTCTTTATTGGAATTTTTATATTCTCTGGATCCAGTAGTATGTATTTTCAAAAGATTTATTTTAAAACTTCATACCAACAAAGTGGCCTATCACTCATATTAGTTAATAATTAGTTAAAAATATGAGTGCAACTATTAACTGACGGTTTACATTTATTTTAGGGGACCATAGATGCTGAAGTGAAGGTGTTGTTGTCGCTGAAGGCGGAGTATAAAGCTGCGACCGGGCAAGATTGGAAAGCCCCGGCTGAAAGCAAACCTTCTGAAAACAAGGCGAACCAAAAGCAGAAGCAAAATCCACAAGGTGACATGCAAAACCTACAACCTACAGCTTTGGTCTTTGGAGGTTCTATATCTAGAATACATTCTTGATAACCTTAATTCTCTCACTATGGGTGATTAGAGTGATTAATATTTTACATCGTGTAGGCATCATCATTTATACATCGAATCGTCTTAGAATTGTAGGTATACTGCTGATAGACATATACATATATTGCCAGTATTTTCACCATGTTTTAGACTGTCAGGTTAGGTGTGTACTATATTTTCACTAATAAGAACCTGTGCTATTGTCGTGCATTTAGTAACAGACGAAAAGATGCCTGCTGATCAGCCGTCAGTGGTGTCCCCAGCCGAACAGGAGCTTCAAGGGAAGATTGACCAGCAAGGGGACAGGGTCAGGCAGCTGAAAACCGGTGGTGCAGCAAAGGTAACTTCAAGTTACGCATCGTCGTACACACAATCGTCGCAAGACACAGAAGTTGTTTCGAAAGACGTGGGGAACGTTTGATAGATAGCGAATACATGGTGCAACCTCAAAGTCTGTTGCAGTGAGCTTACGTGGCACGTGCCTTTTTAAATGTGTTATAAATGTGTTTTAAATGTGTTTTACTTGTGTCGTGCAACCAGGGATTGCATTCGGTCACTGGCACAAGAAAAACGTTCGTGTTTGTATATCCGAGAGGTATTATTGCCGTTAAATTTTTTGCATGTACGTGGTGTGATTTCTAGGCACTCCGTCTATAGTTACACATACTCTCTGTAACATGTGTTTTCACTAAGGGGAAAAGTAGGTAGCGGGAAAAATATAGACGTATGTTATTATTGAAACTTTGCACATTGGCCTCCATTTTAGGTGTCAAAATAGCCAGTACACAAATACACGATTGTTTTACCGGTTTAATGTTATCTATATACGTTACACAGGATGAGGTGGGTAAGGAGGTGAAGGTGCTGCTGGCTCTCAAAGCCCAGTATAAAGAGCTGACGGGGCACGACCTCGGAGGTGGTGGTGGCAAAAGGGACAAGAAGGCTCAAAAGCAGGTGAGACGACAAATTATATAATTAGCTACATTATATAATGATATATAATTATATATTTATATTATAATTATATGGTATACAGAGATATTATATTTCAAGTGGTTGAATCATGATGCAAGTGCAAGGAGGACAGTGTCACGCCATTGTTTCTCCTCGTCATGTGTTTAGTTCAGGAACATGTTCGTATTAGTTCGAAGCACATAGGGTTCCGCCCACAAGTCATATGTGAATGTGCAGTCAAACCTCTCATAGTGGTCACCTTTATACAATGGACACGTTTATAATCGACATTTTTGGCATTTTCCTTTGGTGATAATTACAAGTAAAACTTGCCCGTGAAGGAGATTTTTCTTGAATGATCTTACATACAGGTTTAACTGCGCACGAAGTGATGTATGTGCATGTGAAATTTACTGTACACATGTAAATCCAATAAAAATCCCTGCAGTTAGTTAGCGGTACTTCACGTTGAGGTCATTCTGGATGTGTCAGTTGATTCCCTCAACTCCCCCTCCTCATTATTGCAGGATCAGCAGAAGCAGGAGAAGAAGCCTGCACATGCAAAGAAGGAGCAGCAGCCTAAGGCAGAGGTCGACAGTAAGGCAGCCGACATTAAGCACAAAACGCGTCTCGGCTTGGAGGCCCTGAAAGAGGAGAATCTCAGTGATTGGTATTCACAGGTATGTGCGTGTGTGTGTGTGTGTTGGTGTGTGCACAGCAGGTGTGTGCGTGGGTGCGGCGCGTGTCCACTGGTTAGCATCAACAACTGGTGATCACCAAGGCTGAGACGATCGAGTATTACGACGTAACAACAACAACCAAAACAGTAATGTCACTGCTGCAACTACTAACATCCGTCTACGCGTTGGCGCAGGTGATCACCAAGGCTGAGATGATCGAGTATTACGACGTCAGTGGCTGCTACGTGCTGCGGCCGTGGTCCTACTCCATCTGGGAGCGCATCAAGGACTACTTTGACTCCGAGATCAAGATGATGGACGTCGAGAACGTCTACTTCCCGATGTTCGTCTCGCAGGCGGCCCTGCAGAAGGAGAAGACGCACATCGCCGACTTCGCGCCCGAGGTAACAACCCGCGTTACGGCCTTGAACACACGTGCGGTGACGTCGTACACGACGTCACGTTCGTTCATTTCGTAATAGTCCGAATCCAAAACGAGAAAATCCGAAGGAAGTCGTGGGTGTATCACGCTCAAATGGATGAGTTTGTTGTTTTTTGTTTAAATCATGGCTTTGTGTTTATAGATGGCGTGTGTGACCTGCGCAGTGCCGTGGTCATTGTTACGCACATTCATTTTATAATAAACCGAATCCAAACAAGAAAATTCAAGGGGAATCGTGGGTATCTTGCTCAGATGGATGAGTTTGTTGTTGTTTTTTTAACCACAACTTAGTGTTTGTAGCTCCAAGAGAAGTCATCCATATATCTCCCATCAGATGGATTTGTTTGGAGTTTGTATTTTTACGCACGTCTTTGTGTTTATAGGTGGCGTGGGTGACAAGGTCCGGAGACACGGACCTAGCCGAGCCGATAGCCATACGTCCAACGAGCGAGACGGTAATGTATCCGGCGTACGCAAAGTGGATCAAGTCTCATCGAGACCTGCCTCTGAAGCTCAACCAGTGGAACAACGTTGTCGTGAGTGTCAAAGTGAGGGTCAAAAGGTTATCGGCGACACTTCAGCTCTTCGCACTGTCAAGTGGAAAGCATATTTCATGGTCCTTTGCAATAAAGCCCATAAAAACATGCTAGGTCACGCCGCTGAAACAAAAAAGTTTTTCAATCGGGCTCGCGTCAGACCATCGTCCTCAGCAAACTGTCTAAAATCGGCCCCCATGTGCCCCCCCATGTGACCTTCTCGACGGCTGTGACCGCTCCATTTCGCACACGCCTGATGGCTTCTTCTCCCTACATGCACTGCTACTACACCGACTATCACGCAGGCCTAGTCGAGCCGTTTGGATTGGCCCGGCACATTCTGCGACTTTCGCTCCTATCACTTAATTAAGGAGTGAAATGTTTCGCCGCGCTTTTTTACAGCACTCATTGACCTTTGACCTTTGACCCCCAGGCTTCCGACATCCCAACTCGTTTTCGGATTAACCGGCCCCACAGTCCGCGAATATGCGTGACCGTTACGTCAAGCGGTTAAGAATTTGTGCCGCAACTGTTGACGGACAGCCGGACGGACCGCACGGACGAGTCATGCGATGCTACACAAGCATGGCATACTGAGGCTATGTCAGATGAGGCCTAAACAATATCTAAACTGATTAGCATCAGCAGTATGTATATAGCATATTGAATTTTTATCTGACTAATTTTGTTTCTGCACTAACGACGCAGCTCCTGAACTACGGCCGCCGGCCGCGCGAT